GGTGGCCCGCAAGCGGTCGCACTGTCATACTTGAACCCATATAAACCCAGTAGTCCATCGAGTACCACGACAGGTCTCGATAAATGATTTACAACAACCAAGATCGTACATGATTCAACATACATGTCACATATTACATAAAGTTCACAGATACATTTTCATCATCAGAGTATGAAACCAGTTATTACAAACTGAGTTTGATAGATAAAAGCAGAAGCAAATTAAGTTTGAAAGTAAAGTTTCCAACATAGTTTAATACAGTGCCAAAATACGATCACGGTCCACAAAATCATGTAGAAAGATTAATAAGAAGCCTGCCCAAGGCTTACTCCTCATCCACGGTGGGATAGAAGCAACTCTTGCAATAACCATGATACACAGTTCCATCTGCAACAATGGAAAGTACTCAGCTAGACTTACCCGTCATAAACCAGAAATAAAATGACTCCAAGGATTATGCAAGGCTGTATAAGTGGGGATAGCTTGACAACATTTTGCATAAAAGCGATTAACTTAGTTATACAATTATGGTTCCAATATCAGGTTAATTATAACTATCTATCTCTAGATTAGCAACTGTCCTGTGCCAAATATGTGGTATATCCATTTAAAAGCATACAATAGTAACCATAGCAGGTATTGTAATTCCATATTCGTTCGAACCATCATGTTCCATAATACAATTACTACGATGTTGAGGCTTGCCAAGTTTCTCACTAACCGGGAGAGATGGCGATTTGAATCGATTTTAACTAGCTGGGAATTTCTTCCTAACACAAACCCACACTTCCCCCGTCAGGGTCGCGTCGGGTCACCTTTGGTACAACTCAGGTACACATTTTGCGGGTCCGTACCGCGTCGCACAATCTGGGACACCAGATGCCAGGACGTTCAGGCCTAGCCTGCCCTTGGGCTCAGTCTGATCGCCCCCCGCAAGGAGCGCACAACAGAATGGGTCCCGCCCTGAGTTGAGCTACTCGGCTTCGCGGTCGGAACAAGTTATCCGGCCAGCTAAGTGATAGGCATGCGTTTAATCTTGTCAAAAGTGCCAACAACGGTACGGTCCTTAATCGACACAGACGGGGATAGATCCACACCCAAGACCTCCATGCCTTGTTGCTTCTCTATCGACATCCTGCCCGGTCTCGATTTACTTTTACCCCATGGTTCTTTTCCACGATAGCAAATATAGCCAACCGTGCTTCAGTATGCACCTATATCTCGCAGGTGACAGGAAATCACCCGACTTCTACCGGTCTAAGCAGGGCTAAGCATATATTCGATCCTGGACCTATACAGGGTGAAAGGTGTATATATCTGGACAAGGTAGTTCCATGCATCAAGTGTTTCCATTCAACTCTTATAACCTAATGCATCAATCATAAGTACTTAAGTAATCATTTGTAAAATATTAGGAGACTTATAATGCTCCGGGGCTTGTCTTTCAGAAAGGAAGTGGGGCAGTGATCAGGGCACTCCGGAAGCTCTTCTGGGGTCTGCTCCTCGCCTTCGGGAGCTACGGCTTGAGGAATCTCCTGCTGATCCCCTTCCTCTACTTCATCGAATTCCAGCAACGTTATTTCCTCTGTCTATCCTATATGCATGAATATGGCATAAAGTATTACGAATGCATACATGCGTACAAGTATAAAATGATGACACATGATGAATGCATTCGTATAAGTATTCTTAACAACATGGTGTTAACAAATGCATCATAATTTACCGAGTAGGTGTATATCTCTTCTTGATTACTGAATCAAACATATTTACAATTCATTCACTACACACAAAACAGCAGCTGCTTGTTTTACTTATAACTGAAGTCCTACTTATCCAAATGCTGTGATCTTAGACTTTCTGGAAAGCTTATAAAATTTTCTACAACTATTATTTAATCACCAAAAGCTAATTCACACTTTATCTTAACCAAAACAGTCAATCAATCATGCGCTGTCCAAAAATTCCAGAGAGTAAGCAATTCGGAAATACTAACTTTAAACAGCTATAAATCCTAAACCCTTTGGCCTATTGCTCTGAAATTTTAACACAATATAGATGAAGAAGTTACTTACAACTTTGTTATTAACCATTTTTACAGCAAACATCATTTTGACTATGCAACATTCTAAACCACAGAATCTGTCCGAAAACTCTTCTCTCCCGAATTATAAAGCAACGATATTTCTATTGCATATAAACATTCCAAATTTGACTTCACCAATCATACCAACAGTACAAGGACATCAAATACACTCAAGAAAACATAATGGCCATGCCCAAACTATTTATTTAAATGCCTTTATCAATTTACTAAGATACTTAGGTTAAATAATAAACATATATTAGATGTGCATCATAAATTCTCAAAAATTCACAGTGCCTTACTAATGCTACCAATAGACTATTGTAAAAGTTTCGTGCCATTTTACCAAGTAAAACATCCTATACAAAAATGACAAGGCAACAAGGCTTGAAATAGCATAAATAGAAAACCCTAGTGAAATGTGTCAAGCAACAATTTTTATATTTTTGTTAGCATACATATGGTACTAGGACAACCTCCAACAAATTTCATGAATATTAGATTCATAAATAATTTATAAAAAATCATACAAGGATTACCTAATTATAAAAGGAAAATCTATAACTACAATTCTATACATGCACTGACCCTCAAACTTTTACCAGAGGTTATACATGTCAAGAACAGCTTACCACAAAAATTTTATAATTTTTGGAGCACAGGAACTCTAGATATAAAATAAACAAATTTGCATGCATTCAAAAACACATTTCAAACTTCTATTTAAATCTTCCAAAATTTCTACTGTAAGTATCAAGACTATATTTTTCCTAAATACTACACTTCCTAAGGAACACTACCAAATTTATTTCACAATTTTTGAAGCTACAAAACTGGAGATACAAATATTACAAAACAGTACAAAATCTGGAATTAATGAACTATCTATACTCTCACTGTCGCTGACCGGTGGAACCTGCTGGTCAGAGGACCCCACGCGTCATTGACTTGAAACAGGGCAGCTACGCTGCGCGACGGTGGCGCGGCCAAAGCTCGCCGACGGCGAACAATTCCGGCGACGGCACCGACACTGATGTGACCACCAAGACGCTACGCATCTATTGAGCTAACTAAAAGGACCAGTCGCCGGAGCTAACGACTACGGTGGCATCAATGGCGGGGCGGAGGAGTCGGACGACGGTGAGACGCCGGGGCTGGCCGTGAAAACTCAATCAAACGCTACGCCGAGCATCGACACACGACGACGAAGCTATTGCTCTCACTATCACTGCTAGAGGTGGTCGGAGATGTCCCGGCCATGGCGTCGTGGCTCGGCGGTGAACTCCGGCGAGGCTGCGCGTGGCGCTGAAGCTTTACAGAGCGCCTCTAGCTGGCAGGGCGGTTGCGGTGGGACAGTGGGAGTACTGCGGGGCGGCTGTGGTGACGGAGGAGCGACGAGGCCAGCCGGTGACTGGCAACGGTGATGGCGAAGGCTCTTGGTGCCGCGGCTGCTGCTGCGGTGCTTTGGCCGACGATGGAGGCAGAAAAATGGAAATGGCTAGTGCGGCTCAGTGTGGGCGGGTGCTGGGGGCGTTAAGGCGCGCGCGGGCCTGGCTTGGCCGCACGGGGCAGGGCGCCGGCGACGCGCGGCCAGCCGTTGGCTCCACGCGGCGTGCGAAGCCTGCCGGTGGTCGGCCACTGAATCGCCCGTTCAGTTCATTCAGTGACGCGATGCAGTGCCTGACGACGTGTTTTGACGGTGAATTATCTGCTAAACCGAAGCTCCAAAGTGTAAACGATCTTAACAAGAATCATAGCCCTATGTACCAGCTCCAATTGTTGTTCAATGAACTCGTGCTAATTCGCAACCAAAACTGAGTAATATCATCACAAAGATCGGCTTGTCAGTCGGTCAGTTAACAAGGACTTAGCAAATTTTGTCAAGTGTTGACATGTTGATTTTTCTAATTCTTGTGATCCAATTTCAAGCATGTTAGGAGCTGAATAATTCAATGACCCAAAAATAAAAGTTGTTCCTTATATCAAATACTACAACTTTGCTTTAGTGACCACCTCCATGCAAGGTCTCTAACACATAGTTCAAACTTGGTTAAACATGTCACATTTAAAAGATGATACACTTCAAACTATGGCTTAATGACCTATTTACCCCTAACCATGAATATCAAAGTTGTTCATAATGTTCTTCTAAACATGTTTAAGCTATTTGCAAAGTCACACACTCATTTCATGCATTGGTCACACATAGTGCTATCTAGGTTAACACGTAACATTACTTAAGTGTTTGATCATGAAAGGTGGCATTCATGAACAATGTTCCATTTGCTAACCTAAGTGTTGCTAACATGTTTTTGTGACTCATATCAACCAATCACATGTATACACTCATAATCATATGCATATTCATATGAAAACATGAAATACTAAGAAATGTTGCACATGTTTCAATTGAATGTTTCAAGTGTAAATGCATATATATGAATGCTTGATGATCATGCTTATGCTATGCAAGTCAAGTTATGCAAGGCTAATACCTAGGGTGTTACAGAGAAGAACAAAGCCGCCTCAAAATAACTTGACAACCCACCTTTGTATGAATGCAAAGATCCAGCTGTTGTTTCACCTGGCTGTGAGGTTCCACACTTTGAGTGCGGTGACAAAAGCGAAGCAAGTAAGCCAAGTATGCGGATAACCTCTAGTTCCATGTATGGAATTATTTATCTAATAACTTGTGCACAACAGGTTCGGACTTCGTCAATAACTTAAGTTAAATCTCAACAAACCTGGTCTTTGAGACGGCTAAGAATCGCAATGAAAAAATGGCGTACATGTAATCCATACAACCATGAGCAAGGATTTTGCCCCAAAGTCAAAATGGTTATGTCTACAACTAATGATATATATACCCCAAGTATCGTGTTACAACAATTACATAGGTCAAACCTCCGGTTGCTCAAGTGGATGCGGCTACAAGTTCTAGCCTTTCATAGCTACAGTTGATCGGCGTCGTGTATTTTGGTGGCAACAGAGAATCGACATTAGCAAAATATCCTTCGTCACTGGATGGTTCCCTGTTTACTGGCTTGTCAAGAACACTGTCAGGTATTGCGTCAAGAGTCTCCTCCAAGAATGTTTTCACTGTCTGCACAAAGAACATCACACGGTTAATGCTTTACCATTTTGGAACTTCTATTTTGGAAAAAAAACTTGAAATATACAAGAGTTGTACTTCGCTCATTTTCATTTCAACATCAAAATCAGCCTTAAAACTAATATTATGCCATTTGTTGTTTGAGTGGCACAAATTTTAGTGTGAGTGGGGTGTGTTGGGAAGGTTTTTTGTAGCCCTTAACCGTTTGGAAGTTCTTTTCCTTTCTTGTGTTGTTCGAGAAAAAAACTAATATTATGCCGCTTTTTGTTTAACGCATTAATAACAAATGCATCTTCATTCTGTAACTATTTGTGGAAGTAGTGATATGGCAGGAGTGAGGTTCTCTTAACTTACCTTGCAATGGCGTAATGCAGAGTCAGCTTTGCGTTTCCACAGGCTGTTGCCAGGTTCTGAGTGGAATAAGTTTAACAGTGGCTGTATAAAAATCAAGTGATTCCCTGTCATTAACAAGGCTAAAAGGAAGTGATCTCGAGTGTATATAAAACTGAAAAAGGATAAATACAATTAGCACTAGAATTATGATTTGTAAAATACAAATATTTGAAAATGCAACTGCTACTTCTTAATTAGAGGGCAACAATACCAGGCCAAACATATAAATTTGCTAGATCATTAGAAATGCTTCCGATAAGTTCATTTGGCAGCATCACACCTTTTGAGTACATATCTCAGACATACTTATTCCTGATATAGGAACAATTTTTTAATGACAGTTTTTATGCATTACAAAGCTGCAACACACTACAGCGTAGCATGGCACAAAATTCTTTTCCATTACCAAAAAAAAAAGTATCCAAATGTGAATGGAAGAAATACAAGTGATTTGTTTAAATGTTAGATTCAGATATCCTGCACAGGTCAGAGTGCCAGGTTCCATTTGACCCTAAAATCCGAAGTGTTTTTTGTCATCAAAATGTAGCTCATACCTTGACAAGTTGTCTCACGTTTGGCCTGCTGGGGCCGTACTGGTCAATTATTGAATCACCATAAGCTTGGTAGCTCTCAAGGATCTAAGACAGAGAGTTCAGACGAAGGAAGAAATAGCTGATAGCTCAAATGAATATGTCAAATGCTAAACCTGGCGACGAGAAATGCATCTTGTTTGCTTGCCATAGATTTCCCCATCCACATGTCCTAGCATGTTCCATGGACTAGAAAGTCCACCAAATATGAAATTATAAAGATGATAACTAACATTGGAGTTAGTACACAAAGCAAATCCTTACAGAAAAGAAAAACCAATGTGACCACTGTAATCTCAAAGCATAGGGAAGAACTAAAGTGACCACTGGAACTGCAAAGCATAAGCAGGTATATTTGCAGTTGTTTTCAAACACACCAGACAGCTTTGTGTCATTTCGAGGTCTATTTACAGGATTCACTTTGGTTTGTGTTACAGCCCAGATGTGCCATGGGCCGGCTGGACTGTATCATGGGCAAGGCCAGCCCACGGGTGGCACCAGAAGCAGGCTTGGCCAAAAAAATCCCATCTGTGTGGCAACGGGCAGCCAGGCTGCTGCATGTATCCACGTTATCAAGTCTAGAGTCTTCCAGTCAGTTTGTTACAAAATAATCTAGTAGATCTATCTGTTAGGAAGTATCGTGTCTTGGCAGTAGAGGATCATAAATATGAGATCCAATCAATAGTGTTGCTTAGCCATCAAGTCGAATCTCATCTATAAATAGAGGTGCTGTGTACCCTTTGGAACTCAAGAAAGAAAGGAAATCCTTCTATCTCCCTCTCAACCCACCAGCACTGTTCATAGGTACTGTTCATCCACAGAAATGGTACTGCAGATACTATATCATGCCCTCTCCTGTAAATTCTTTCCCTCACTTGTATCTTTTGATCCTTGCCAGTAACAGTTTGCAAGTTCAAAAACAAAAAGTAAAAAAAGAACATACTTATTATAAGCGGCCCGGCCAACCATAACTCCTTGTGCACCTTGTCTTATGGATGCACTAACCTGCAACAAAACAAAAGAGCTCTAATCAAACCAACATAAGGTTAACATTCATGGAAGGTTCAATCAACATTGTGCAGTCCTGAATAGGAGGGAAATGCGTATAGTAGTAGATGTCTCAAATGCACCAAATGAAATATTTTTATCTTGAGTATACGACAGGTTCTAGTTCTCTGCATAAATTTGCAGCCAAAAACAGTTGATAATTGAAGCATTACTAACAGAAAGCCATCTATATAAGGATATACAAAATTCAAGTAAACCATTGTTAGAGAAAATATGTTTAGCAATTTCTTGCATCTATGCATGGGATTTCTGGAAGGGCAGGCCTGGTGCAGTGGTGAGAGCTGTCTCACTGAGTCACCAGGTCGTGGGTTCGAAGCAGCCTCGTCGCAGATTTTGCGGGGGGGAGGCTTGCCTTAGTTTTTCCCTTCCCCAGACCCCACTCATGTGGGAGCCTCCGGCAGTAGGTCCGCCCTTTTTCTATGCATGGGATTTCTGGTTCAGGTTATTCCAAAGGGTAGGCCTATAGATCCTTGCCCCTCAGATTGGAGAAGAGTTCTTTGGTAATTAGTGGGAGAAGATTATCCTTGCTGTTGGAGGACAACTGCAGAAAGGCCTCAACTCCCTTATGAATCTTGGGGCTTGGACCATTTAGAATCACTGCAGTAGATGAGTATTTGGAATTCCTCCTCATTTGGATAGAGCCTTATTGCTCGCTAGCGAGGAATTACAGTAGTGGGTTTTGGCCGGGGCTATTGGTATTTCTTACCTTTTCACCCAATCATTGGAGTAGTGCGTGTTTAGGTTACAGTCGTATCCCTGTAGTTTCCTGGCACAAATGTGATTGTAATAACGTCTTTGGGTGTGTGTGGTTTGTAAGGGTTCTTCCCCTTTTTCTTTTTAGTATTAACGATGCACAGCTCTCCTGCATGTTCAAGGAAAAAAAATCATTGTAAGACGTTTTCATTTTGAGAGCTTTTGGACCAAGGTGCCCGGCTTCCTTGAGGCTGTACAGTTGAACTGGGATGCTCCTGTACAGTCCAACTGTGCAGTTGAGCGCCTGTTCCTGAAATTGCAGCGCCTCAGTAGAGACTTGCAGAAATGGGCTCAGAGAAAGGTTGGAAATATTAAGCTCCAATTGGAAATGGCCAAAGAAATCTTGCATTGGTTGGAAATTGCAAGGGATTCTCAGAAACTTCCTGACATTGAGGACTGGCTGAGGAAAAAACTTAAGCTTCATTGTCTTGGTTTGGCTTCTCTGGCGCGAACCATTGCTAGGCTGCGGTCAAGAATTCTCTATCTGCGTGAAGGTGATGTGAATACGGCTTTTTTCCACCAACAGGCCAGATATAGGAAGAAGAAGAATTTCATCGCCAAACTAGAAGTGGGAGATCATCTGGCTGTCACACAGGAAGCTAAACATGATGCGGTCCTCAATTTCTTTGAGAATGTCTTGGGAACAGCCAAGGGTCGAGATTACACTATTGATCTTTCAGAGATTGGGGTACAGCAACATAATCTTTCCTCCTTGGATGCTCCATTTACAGAAGATGTTAAAAGTAACAATCAAGGATATGCCCTTGGACAAAGCCCTTGGGCCGGATGGTTTTACTGGCCGCTTTTATAAATCATGCTGGAACAACATAAAAGGGGATCATGTTGGCTTTATCAGCCATTCATCGGGGACACGTGTTCAAATTTAGATTGCTGAACACCGCCTTGATCTCCTTGCTCCCCAAGAAATTGGAGACCACTCAAGTTAAGCATTTTCGGCCTATAAGCTTGATTCATAGTGTGGCTAAATTAGTGACCAAAGTGCTAGCCAATCGGCTAGCCCCTCTTCTACCTTCCTTGGTCGCCACAAATCAGAGTGCATTTGTCAAAGGAAGGAACATCCAAGACAATTTTCTTTTTGTCCAATAAATGGTGAAAACCTTACATAGAAAGAAGGCTCATATCATGCTCAACATGGTTTATGAGGCGTCGCCTAGGCGACAAGGCGTGGTAGAGGTGTTGGGCGTCGGGGTCGCCACGACCTCCGCGGGTATGGCGTCCGCCTCATAGGATTAGGCGTCGCCTAGGCGCGAATGGCGTCGGGCGGACGCCTACAGCGCCGCAGGGGACGCCGGATGCGATTTTGCAGGGAATGGATGGGAAATCGACCACGGGTGGGCGGGAAATCGAGCGCGCGTCCACGCCAGAAGACCCGCGGCGGGAAGTGAGCGCATATATGCTCTTGCGCGGGAAATTTCCCGCTCGGTGGCATTTACTGCGGGTGCGGGCAGCTTCACGGGGAGAGAGCCAGAGAGGGAGAGGAAAAGAGAAGGCCGAGGGCGGGAACTCTTGGCGGCGGCGGCGGCCCTGCATCTCCGTTTGCTGCTCGTCTGCTCGAGTCCAGAGGCCGCCCCTGCATCTCCGCCTGGCTGCGTAAGTCCACTAGCGGTCCGCACCTGCTCGCCTATCTCCGTCGACCGGCCAGACCTGTACTCGTCGGCCGTCTGCAGCTGCTCGCCGACCTCCGTCGACCGTCTGCCGTCAGCCTGGGCCTGGACGCTCCCTGCCTCCTCTCTGCTTCGAGTCGCCGTCGCCATCCGCAGGTCCATCCGCACCTCACCTGTCCGTCCGCTTCGAGTCGCCGTCCGCAGGTCCATCCGCACCGCACTTGTCCGTCCGCCTCGTGTCTGCGCCTCCGCTTTTGCTCCTGTAGTGTTATCTGCTCTTCGTGCTCTGCTTTTGCTCTGAATATAGTATGCCTCGTGCTCTGCTGCTCTGCTTTTGATCTGAATATTGTATGCCTCGTGCTCTGCTATTGATCTGAATATTATATGCTCATGTTGCATGCCTGTCCCTGCCTCCTCCCTTGCTCTGAATATTTATTCTGCACTCTGCTCTGCATTTGCTCATGGTGTGTGCCTGTATGTACTCTGCTCTGAATATTGTAAGATGAACTGCTGATGCCTACTTTTTATATTATATGGGTTATCACTCACATATACAAATGGCTGCTTGTTCTTGGGCTCAAGAATTGACAACAAACGAGGTATGCATGTGCTGCACTAGTATATAAAATTCTAGCTTACAACGCCTTACAATGTGTATATGGCGTCGCCTAGGCGTCCGCCACAAACGCCTAGACGTTGTGAAGGGGGTCAGGCGCCGCGCCTCGCCGCGGCGCCTCAAAAACAATGATGCTCAAGTTGGACATTTCCAAAGCTTTTGACTCAGTCTCATGGCCTTTCTTATTGAAATTCTGCAACATGTGGGTTTTGGACAGCGGTGGTGTGATCTTCTATGCCTGATTTTGTCCACCTCCTCTACTCAAGTCTTGGTCAATGGAAAGTCGGGTGCGGCCATACATCATCGGTGTGGCCTCCATCAAGGTGACCCCCTCTCCCCCATGCTTTTTATACTTGTCATGGATGTTTTCTTGCGGCCATATAGGATGGACCTGCAAGTCATCAAGAGAATCCTGGATTTATTTGGCCATGCCTCGAGTCTGCGTACTAATCTATCCAAGAGCTCAATCTCCCCCATCCACTGCTCTACGGAGGATCTGCATCTTACAACAGAGATTCTGGCTTGTGCCGTCAAGGATTTCCCTTGTACATATCTTGGGCTACCCCTTTCTATTCACAAACCCACCAAAGAGGTGCTGCTACCTCTAGTTGATAAAATGGCTGATCTTCTTCTAGGTTGGGGAAGGCTCAGCTAATGAATAGGGCTGGTCGCCAGATCTTGTTTCGGGTGGTCATGATAGCCACCCCCATTTATTTAATGATTGCCTTTGATCTCCCTAAATGGGTAATCAAGGCAGTGGATAAAAAGAGAGTTTTTTATGGAAAGGACAGGAACAAGCAAATGGAGGCAATTGTTTAGTTTCATGGGAAAGGGTGCAGCGCCCACTTCAGTATGGCGGCTTGGGGATCCATAATCTTGAAAAACTTGGCTGGGCGCTAAGAATCCATTGGCTTTGGGCCCAAAAAACAGATTCCTCTAGACCTTGGGTCATGTGGAATCTCGTTTCGGTCCGTTTGGAAATAGTGTTAGTGTTGGTGCAAGATAGGTGCACGGTTTGCGCCACACGTACCATAGGCTCGGAAATCGTTTTGGACGCACCCGATGGTACTTCTAAGTGACGAGGCTCAAGTGGAAGCTCATTTCGGCCCATTTGAAGATAGTGCTAATCTTGACGCAAGATAGGTTCACGGTTTGTGCCGAATGTACCATAGGATCGAAAATCGTTTTGGATCCACCCGATGCAACTCCAAGGTGACGTGGGTCATGTGGAATCTCATTTCGGTCTGTTTGGAGACGATGTTAGCGTCGGTGCAAGATAGGTGTATGGTCTGCGCCAAACGTACCATAGGCTCAGAAATCGTTTTGGATCCACCCGATGGTATCCTAGGTGACGAGGCTCAAGTGGAAGCTCGTTTCAGTCCGTTTTGAGATAGTGCTAATCTTGACGTAAGATAGGTGCAAGGTTTGCGCCGAATGTACCATAGGCTTAGAAGTCATTTTGGACGCACCTGATGGAACTCCTAGGTGACGTGAGTCTTGTGGAATCTCGTTTCAGTCCATTGTGAGATATTGTTAGTTTTGGTGCAAGATAGGTGTACGGTTTGCGCCAAACGTATTATAGGCTCAGAAATCGTTTTGGACGCACCTGATGGTACTCTTAGGTGACGAGGCTTAAGTGGAAGCTCGTTTCGGTCCGTTTAGAAATAGTGCTAATCTTGACGCGAGATAGATGTACGGTTTGCGCTAAATGTACCATAGGCTCGGAAATCGTTTTGGACGCACCCGATAGAACTCCTAGGTGACGTGGATTATGTGGAATCTCATTTCGGTAAGTTTGGAGACAATGTTAGCGTCAGTGCAAGATAGGTGCACGGTTTGTGCCAAACGTACCATAGACTCGGTAATCGTTTTAGACGCGGCTGGTTTTCAGGTTCAAGTTCCTCAGTTTGCAAAAGCAATGTTTCGCTTGGCAGTTGACTGTATTGTTGGTAATGGGGAGTCGATTTTATTTGGAAGGACAGGTGGCTGAATGGCAGAACCATTGATGAACTAGCCCCAAATTTGATCAAAGCTATTCCCAAAAGGTCGCTCAATAGAAGGACAGTAGCTGAAGCTCTAAATAACCGGAGATGGGTGGCAGATATCAAAAGAGCGCTTACTGTCCAGGTCTTGGAGGATTATTTCAATATTTGGGATCTAGTGGTGGGAGTGGCCCTGCAGCAGGAGGTACCTGATCAGTTTAGGTGGACGTTAACTCAGTCAGGTACCTATACCAGCAAATCAGCTTATGTTGCTTTCTTTGTCGGGACCATCAAATTTGCTCCATGGAAAAGGATTTGGAAGAGTTGGGCTCCACTCCGGTGCAAGTTCTTCATTTGGTTGGCTATCAATAATCGTTGTTGGACGACAGACTGTCTTGTTAAAAGAGGCTTGCCCCACTCGGAGGCTTGTCCTTTTTGTGGTCAAGAGGAAGAAACCATACAGCACATCCTTGTGGGCTGTCGTCACCAGGCAGGTTTGGTTTTCAATTCTTCAAGCCCTACATCTACCTGCTCTGGTGCCCTCAACATCAGACACCAAATTTTCAAGTTGGTGGAGAAGGGTCTCTGGCTTATTCCAAAAGATTTGCAAAAGGGGTTCAACTCTTTAGTTATTCTGGTAGCTTGGGAAACCTGAAAACACAGGAACTCTTGTGTTTTAGAGCATGCCAGGCCTAGCATACCAGATCTGCTCCGAGTGATAGCTGATGAATGCGGTTTATGGGGGTTGGCAGGAGCTTCTAAACTCCAAGAGTTCCTTGCCTGGTCGCTGTCCTTGGCCGCTTAGATCTGTGGCTAGGTTGGTCGGGGTTTTTGTTGTTGTTTCTGTAAGAGTTTGCTACCTGTTGGTGGTGTGTGAGTGGGGGTTGAGTTTTTGTACTTGGGCCGGTTCCTGCCGGCCCTTTGGTTCTTTCTTCTTCTTAATGAAATGACAAGCAGCTCTTTTGTGTTATTCGAGAAAAAAAATGCCTTATGGAACTCAAGAAAGCAGCTACATTTTCTAGCCATGATAAGATCGCTCCGCTTTAGTGGTCGCATGAAGTGGAATTACCATTCACATCAAGATGGGGCCTAATCTGGCCTTGTTGACCACATTATTCAATGAGGTCATGAAACTAGTAACTAAAAAGAACTGAAGCAATGCAGTGAGGCCATTTGGTTCGCATCCTGTCCTGGGGCACCCGGGCTATTAGGATATGTATATATCTATATTAGGATATGTATATATCTAGATCAATTAGCGATTGATTGGTGTTTCCCTAGATAGGCTAGCTGTCATGTATAGCCTAGGATAGTTTCCTTGTACAGGAAATAGCTTCCTATGTATGTAACTTCCATGTATGCCTATTGGCTATATATATGAAAGGCTCCCCACCCACATTGGGGTGTGTGGTGATTCTCTACCTTCTACATGGTATCAAAGCAAGATGAACGCTGGGACGGATGCCTGGCCCAGGCGAGTTTCCCAGGTCAGGAAGCAAACAGGCCCTGAATTTCAGTGACACACTCTTCTGTAGGTAAGGCGCATTCAATGGTAAGACAAACGCTTACTTGACCAACATTGGTTATGCCTCCATTTAGAGTAAATTTTATTTCTGGGAAGTCCCGCAACAAAGCAAAATAGTACTCATACCTGCAATCATGTTGATAAACAAATCTTAAAACTGTTCCAAGCAACCAAACTGACACAAATTGAAGCATTATGCACAGGCATGTCCGGATCCAATTCAATAATAGCATTTTCTTCACTATCTAGGTGCAATGGCTAGGATTAAAAATACACAATTCAACATTTCCTATTGGTATCCACTTTCTTGATTGTCCCAGATTGGATATGAGGATTAAAAATTCAGCTGTACAACACCTAATAGTTAAAATGTTTCAATAACTATGGCAGAAGAAAGAGCAGCACAATTATGGACATGACCATTCCTCTCTAGAGATATTATTGGTGCCCTTCGTAAATGTTTCCTTGTGCACAAAGATGGGAAAACCAATGTTTTCAAGGCGGTAAGGCGAGGCGACGCCTTAACAGCTTAAGAAAAATTTAAAACAGCAGCTCAGAGCAGTAGATGGTGAAGAGAAAAAAAAAGGAAAAAGGAAAAAGAAAGGAGGAGTAAGAATAGGTCTAGCCCAGCCCATCAGGCAGCCCATGTGCCCCTCCCTCACCCACCAAGCATGTCTTCATCTCTCTGCTCCCAAATCCCCAATCCTCTCCAGACTCTAGCGCCGCCGCAACTCTCCTAACTTCTGACTTCCGCCTCCGGCCTCTGCCCCTCTCTCTATCTCTTCCCTCCCTCTCTTCCAGATGCGGGCGCAGCTGCATGGCTTCCTGAGATGGAAGAGGGCGCGGCTGCATGGCTCGGCTGCGGATGGCCGAGCGGCAACTTCCCCCGGCACCAGCAGCGAGGATGAATATGGCGGCGCGGGTGAGCTGCGGCTTCCTCTTCCTCACCCGTTCACTGGGGTCCCCCGCACGCCTGCTCTCTCTGCGCTCTGTTTCTCCCGTGCGCCAGCTCTCTCTCTCTGCATGCGCCTGTTTCTTCCGTGCGCTCGCGCTCTCTCTTTCCTTTTTTTCGCACCGATTCTCCTGTGTTTTCCCACTGTCCAGAGCAGAGGCTTCCTCGTATGGCGCCCGCCATGCGCGATTTGGCGCGATTTGGACACCAAAGCGACGTTTTTTGGACGCCTCGGCTATAAGGCGGACACCACACGAATCTAAGGCGAGTCGTCTGCTAAGGCGTTGTGCGTGCAGTGCCTTGGCGCTTAAGCGATGCTTAAGCGACGCCTAAGCGATGCCTTAAAAACACTGGGGAAAACATACTTCAATGGAGGAACCTTCCGATTTTCTGCGGGACTAAGACCGCTAAGCAATGCCTTCCGAGCATGAATGATGAAATGCCTAGTTGGAGATTTTGAGACAACTTTATCTACAAATTCACCTGGTGAAAACCAAAAAAAAAGAAGCATGTATTAGAACATGTCACTATGCTAGCACAGTAAGGGAGAACTAACCATCAAGAAAGATAAGGATTCATTAAAAGAAAGTAAACCGTGAAAAGCAATGGTTGTTCCGGCTTCAAAAAGAAATTGAATTTATTTCTAGAAAAATGCAATCGAACAACAGATTGGAAAGCAGTCAAACATACCGTGCACTATAAAGTCAGAACAAATGAGACTGTTGAAGGCATCTAGCATAAAATGAATAAGGAAATTCTCAAACGACACAGGAAAGCCATGTGTCATTTCATTAAGAGAAGAAAATGTAAAGGAGAGGCTAATAAGCCAACTCCAAGTGAAGACCAATTACAGACGCGCCACAAAACTTGAACCATGTGGCACCAGACTGTTTTTATCAAACTTGAATAGCAAGGTGTCCAGCTGCTACGAGATTGTTTGAAGTAAAAAGAATTCAATTTTCCTGCGAACCAGATGCTGACCAAGCATTAATCAACTACAGTATGCTGCTACCATGGTTGCTCTATTACATCTATTCTGTCCATATCAAAAACTATCTGCCTTTTGCAGCTAGTCCCCATTGTTCATTTTCTTTGTGAACATATATGATTCAATAGAGTGTAACCTAAGCTCAGGATGTATTGATCCAATAGAGTGTAATCTTATCGGGTATCGATATTAGGGATACCCAAAGCAAGGAAGTTAGCGTCCACGCTGACTTTCTCGGATGGAGCAAGACGTATTAAAAGGTCTCGTCCGACCTCGAGGCCGCGGGCTCTGTCTCGCCCGACCCCTTGGTTGAGGGCTCCTCCTCGCCCGACCTCGAGGCCGCAGGCTCCGTCTCGCCCAACCCCAAGGCCGCGGGCTCCGTCTCACCCGACCCCAAGGCCGCGGGCTCTGTCTCGCCCGACCCCTCGGGTGCGGGCTCCGTCTCGCCAGGCGGCGAACTCGTAATAAGTGGACAAGCTCCGTTATTACATCCGCGTCGATTGGGCCGCCATGGCGCACCCCCGCACGAACGGCATGGTCCTACAAGGCCTCAAGCCTAGGATCTTCAACCAGTTGAACAAGTTTGGCAGATGATGGGTCGCGGAGCTTCCCGCGGTGCTCTGGAGCCTGAGGACGACCCCCCAGCCGGGCTACCGGCTACATGCCATTCTTCATGGTCTACCACTCCGAAGCTATCCTCCCAACCGACCTCGATTATGGAGCGCCGAGGGTCAGGGCGTACGACGAACAGGGAGCCGAGGCGTCCCTCGAGGATGCCATGGACCAGCTTGACGAAGCGCGCGACGTTGCCCTCCTATGCTCGGTCAAGTACCAGCAAGCGTTACGACGGTACCACAGCCGTCGAGTGCGGGGTCGGGCCTTCAACGTCGGGGACCTGGTGCTCCGCCTCGTCCAGAGCAACAAGAACTGCCACAAGCTCTCTGCGCCATGGGAGGGACCGTACGTCGTCGCGGAGGTGCTCCGACCAGGCACCTATAAGTTCAGGACCATCGACGGCGAAGTCTTCGTCAACGCCTGGAACATCGAACAGCTACGTCGCTTTTACCCTTAATTTACGCACACTTTCTCTTATCAGTTTCGCTATCAAGCCCTCGATCTTTAGTGACACCCGACCCCAGCAACGGCAGGGGGTCGGGCCTCACTCGGGGGCTGATAAGAGTATATCCACCGAGCAAACATTCTCTGTGCCCGACCCTCTCTCACGTTAAGATCTAGAAGGAAGGGTTGCGGAAACGAACACTGAGTAAAACTGGTCGGACTGCAAGAAACCTACACCCCAGCGGCTACGATGTTTTTTGCTCACCGGAATGATCAGAGTTTGTTCACCCGCACCCTGAGCTTTACAGCCTTAACGACGGAAAGGATCGGAACGTATTAGCCTTTTTATACAAAAAGGAATAAAATCTGTTTGGCCATAACGAAATTTAAGAGCTTGTCCACTTATTACGTGTTCGCCGCCTGACTTATCTGCCTAAGTAATTTCTTGGGGGGAAGATCTCATCCTCTATCTTCGTAGGTAAGTCCTGTGCCAGCGGGTCACCCAAGTCGATCGGACGACTTGGGCCGCTGCCGAGAGACGTGTAAGGAGCAGTAAGATGCCCCATGCGGGTTATGCCGACTCCGTCACGAACGACGGACCCGGATTCCACTCGGATATATCCGATAAGAGCTCCACGAATCCGTCACTCGAGCCATCGAGGTAAGTCCTATACCAGCGGGTCACCCAAGTCAATCGGATGGCTCGGCCCGCTGCCGAGAGACGGGTAAGGAGCAGTAGGATGCCCCATGCGGGTTATGCCGACTCCGTCACGAACGACGGACCCGGATTCCACTCGGACATATCCGGTAAAAGCTTCCCAAACCCATCACTCGAGCCATCGAGGAAACTTTACCAACCTCCACTTTACTTTTCTAGTGCATGAGCATTCATTCATCCATTCTCATACATACAAGTATCGCATATGCAATTATTGCATCACAACGCTTCGCGTCGCGTCACGAAGCGGTAGTCGTCTCATTCAACATGAGCGGCGACCGACCGGGGTTCGAAGGTCGGCCCACGAAGGGCTCGAGGCCGCCTCACGTCGAACAGAGCCAGGGGAGAAAACGCAGATGAGCCCCAGCGGCCTTTGCCCGACCCGCTCAGAAGCGGACAGGGTGATCTCGACCTTCTCGTTCGATCCTAACCTCGAGCCATGCCCACAGAATCTCTATCGAGCGAAGGCCAACGGGCCACCTGAGTCGGTCTCCAGAACGACTCAGGCAATTGCCGGGAGACGGGTTAAGGAGCAGTGAAATGCCACATGAGGGCTATGCCGACCCCGCTACGAACGACGAACCGGATTCCACTCGGACATGCCCGTTAGCGAGCTCACCGAGCGCGACACTCGAGCCATCGAGACAAGTGACGTTAGCTCAACCCCTCCGGTTGCGGAAACCACGGATGGGGTGACGATAACAAAGACGAGCTGACCCCTCGACCGGACCCCTGCAATGCGCGGGGGCTCGAGGGAAGTCAGACTCGCAAGGAGACCGAACACGCGGTCGCAGAACGATGGCTTGGATCCTGGGAGGCAGTACGTACGAAAACTAAGAATAACGTTTCTAAAACAAAAAACACTTTCTCCTAACAGTTTCGCTATCGTCTCCTCGGTCTTTAGTGAAATCCGACCCCGGTAACGACAAGGGGTCGGGTCTCACTCGAGGGCTGATAAGGGTATATACATACCCTTTCTGAAACCGTCGCCATGCCCGACCCTTTCTCACGTTAAAAACCTAGAGGTAAGGTTTGCGGAAACGAACGCCGAGTAAAACTGGCCGAACTGTAAGAAACCTACGCCCTAGCGGCTACAACACTCTTGCTTACCAGCGTGACTAGAGTTTCCCGCCCACACCTCGAGCTCTACGGTCTTAACAACAGGAAGGGTCGGAACGCACTAACCCCTTTTTTACACATAAAAAGGGAGAAAAGAACAAATTTGTTCAAACGAAACAAAATAGCAAGCTTGTTTAAACAAAACAGAAGGGTTGGAACTTGTCCGCTTATTACAAAAGCGCCGCCTGACCTATCTGACTAAGCTAACCCCTCAGGGGGATGATTTCATCTTCTATCTTGGCAGAAAGGTCATGCGCCAGGGGGGCCACCTCCTTCTCGATGTCGTCCAGCTCAGCGTCGTTATAGACGGGCGCGAAGCCTTGGCTCATCGTCGCCAGATCGATGTTCCCGTGATGAGAACGGACGATCGCGAACGATCGGTGAACGCCAAAGCAAAGCGCGCCCCTCGCCATATCACGTGCCCGGTCCGTAATCCGGGTGGCGCGAACCGCGAGGGAGCTTGTCTCCTGCTCCGGGGACAGCTCGAGCTCGTCGCAGACCAGCTGGACGGCGACGCGCAGGTTGTCATGTTCATCGCTCTCCTTCTGGAGGGTGTCCTTCACCTCGCTGAGCTCCTTCTCTAGGCCGCGATTCTTCACCACCTCCGCCCCGAGCTTGTCGTCGAGACCTGCCCAGGTCACATGCCGACCGTGTCAAAAGGCTTACCACGGATTCCAGGGAGAGACAACAAGGGAAACCGGGGACTTACCGTCCACGTCCGCCCGAAGCCTGCGCACCTCATCGCGCTGCCGGGTCACCTCGGCCTCCAGGCACCGGACCTCTTCTTGGCGTTGACCGAGCTCCGCGGCGAGCCCAGCGGACACGCCCTCGGCTGCAACCTTCAGGTCCCTCTCCCTCTGAAGCTCACCCTCGAGGTGGTCGAGCCGCTGCTGAGCGTTCGCGCGCTCCTTGCAAGCCAGCTCAGTCCCCGTGCGGAGCTCCTCTATGGCCCGGAGAAAGTCATCCAGTTCCTTCCGTAGCCGTTCGGACTCCACGACGTCCGTGCGTGGCCTCTCGATCAGGGCCGCGAGCTTCTCCTCGGCCTCGCGGGCGTCGTCACGAGCATCCTTCTCCCTGACTCGGAGGTCGGACACCTCCCGGGCGGCAGGGGCAAGCTCAGCCACTTCCTGACGGGCGGCAGCGAGCTGTGCGGCTAGCCCCTCACTCCGCCGCGTCTCCTCAGCAAGGAGCTGGAACTTCTCCCGGCTACGGGCCACAAGGACTTACAAAAAAGACAAGACTTAGAGGCGTGAATCGGGGCGACAATGTCGTGCTTATCATACCTGGCCAACCGGGGCGACAGTGTCGTGCATCGAGCCCAGCATTGTGGTCAGGGCGCGAACCGCGTCCCCAACCTCCGTGTGGACGCTCCCCCATTCCCTCTCTGCCGCTTCATCAAGGGCAGCCACCCGGACCAGAGACTGGGACGTCCCCGCGTCGACCTCTCTGGCGGCGGCAGCTCCTCCAGAGAGGCTCCCCTAGCGACAGAGGGGTGGGTGACGCGGACACGGAGGCCTGCCCTGTTGCCACATCCGCGATGGATGCCTCGGGGGCAAGAACCATCGCAGGTAAGAAGGGATCCAGAGCTGAAAACGCTCC